TTTTTTTTTCAAAATAACCAAATCGATCGAAGTATATGAGAAAAATATTATTTGATATTTAAATATGTTAGACCTTTACATCAAAAAGTATACAATGGTAAATAAAATATTAGAATACTAAATCTTTTTCCATAATATAAATTATAAACTAATTTGATTAATTATGTTAAATTGGTTAACCAATCAAATAATAAACTATTTTGTTCGATTTTAGTTCTATTTGGGCACGTCATAGAAAAAATATGCATCCAATGTGAGCGCACAATAATGATAGACAGGTTGCACTTTAATGACTATTAGATTTCACAATAGCAACCAAAACCGACCGAATTATAATTTTTTTTTCTTTTCTGCACTTTAAATGTTACTTTTACTTTTAAGGCGTATCTATACACAATATTGTGCAATTCAATTGCGATGTTACGTATTTATTATTTTTAATAAGTTCGTATAAATATGAGAATATTTTTTTAATGTGCATATATACACACAATATTGTGCATTTTTTTAATGTGCATTTTCACTTACTAATGTTGTTATTTTCTAAGCTTTTAATAAACTGCAAATTTGACTATGGACTGAATTGTAATATAGTGAAATTTCATTAATTTACAGACAAGTCCCTAGGACTTATTTAATTTTTCAAAATCAATCACTCCATTTTCAAACCCCTGCACAGATCCATTTCACGTCATCAATTCATAACAACGGCACAGATGGAAGTTCAATACACGTGCACAAATCGAAGTTCAGTACACGGGCAAATGGAAGAACATATGCAGCTCCGTCTCGAACCCGCCGGAGACGGAGAAGTCGACCACGAGTGCCACCGGTTTTTTCCGCCGTTGGTCAGTTTTTTTGGGGCGGCGAATACTTGACGTCCGTCGGGATGTCTTCGTAGCTAACCGGCGGAGACGCTGTCGATGGAGGAAAACAAGTTGTTTGGACGAGAGTGTGCCGCCGATCTGATAAGCAGCGGGATGCCGGCAGGCGGTGGCAAGAGGAAACAGGCTTTGACGGGCGGCAGATGGTGGTGGCGGTCGACAGCGGTCGGAAGCAGGCGGCGGCTGGCAGCAATGGAGGTATCACCAGTCGGGTGAGAGTTGTGACACGCCATTGCTTAGGTATGTATGTGTGTGAGAGAGAAGAGAAAACGTTTGGTGCGTGTATGTGTGTGAGAGAGGATAGGAGATATATATAAATATATATATATATATATATATATATGAGATCATATGAGAATGATAGATAGTGAAAGAAATAAGAATGAATTTGTACCATGAGATTTAACACATGAATGATGATGATCAAGTCAAAAATTAAACAATGCAGTCAAATCTGTGTGGCAATTTTGTAAATAGATGTACAATTCCTGGTCCAATGTAATCATTTACACACTAAATAAGGGCATAATGGTAATCACACACACACACACACACACACTAAATAATTTGATATGTTCCACGCACATTTACAAAGAAGAATCGGCCATAGTATTATCCAGATTTTTCTTTCATTAATATCGAGTAAAATGCTTAGCAATATGAAAAAGAAAATATATTGATATACCATTTATTATCATAAGCAGTTATATTGGATCAATATATAGTATACCAAATAATTCAATTTCATACATTATTGATAAAATACAAAAAATAATATTCAATTTAACTACGAAATTAATTGTCTAGGTTACAAAACAAAATCAAGACTCACGTTTATTATAGATAACAATAAAAAAAAGACTCAAAAATAGTTATTAAAAAATAATTAAATAGAAACTGCCATTAACACAATTGTTTTAGAATAATATATAAGAAATTATAATTGAATAAATCCACCGAACTTACACGATCTGCGAAATTAGGATATCTTAAAAATGTAAATTTCTATCTTCTAATTATTTCCTTAACTATCCACGATTTGAGCAATTAAATACACAAAAAATGAATAACATTTATTAAATAATATATAAATAAAAATTTTCATTAACACAATTTTTTTAGAACACTTTTTGCAAACTGCATAATTAATTACTGTTGTCGATATTTCCATAATTGTAGTAATTATTTACAGATTGAATAAATCAGTTGGATTTACACAATTTGCGTAATTAAGGTATATTAAAAATATATTTCATAGAAGAATTATACGAAAAATATAAAACACTTATTAAACGATAAATTATACAATTTAGTTGAATTTTTTTACTAAAATACATAATTGATATTGCAGCCGAAATTCCCATAATTGGGTAAAGCAGCCAATTCACATGATTTGAGTAATTAAGGTATTTTAAAAAATAATTTACCATAAGTGATTATTTGAAATATACTCTAAATTGTTAAAGTAATTTTAGTAATTAAAATATCTTAAAAATAAATATTTATATGGATTAATTAATTCCTTAAATAATGAGCCACAATTTCCATAAGTGATTATTTAAAATATACCATAAATTTTTAAATTAATTTCCAAAATAGTAAATAGATTTTTTTTTTGGAAGGAAATAGTTACTATTTAAAAAATAATCAAACCTTTATATATATATATATATATATATATATATATATATATATGGGGTGGATCCAATGAGACCACTCCTTAAAATGAGTACGTAAGACTCAATCTTAGCCACTCATTTTGTCTAGATCAAGGATTTATGTTAATCAATTAAAATATATATTAATTAAATAATAAAAATAATTATTAGTTTACTCCCGCCTTTATCGTTGACTTCCGGCGTTGACCCGTTGACCATAATATGTATTGTGTGTGAAGTAAATATGGTGAGGCAAAGTTAGTGCAAATATGTTGCAAAGTTATTGTAAAAATGTTGCAGAGCTAGTTATTTTTATTTGCAATATTTAGTTGTATTCAGTTTGCAAGGTTAGTTGTCTGTAGTTGCAAGGTTAGTTAGCTTTAGTTGCAAGGTTAGTTTTCTTTACTTGCAAGGTTAGTTATGTCTTAGTTCTGTCTAGTTGCATTAATGTTAGTTTTCTCTTGTTGCAAGGTTAGTTGTCTGTAGTTGCAAAGTTAGTTCTATTTTACTGCAGGGTTAGTAAGTTTTATTTGCAATTTTTAGTTGTGTTCAAATATGCAAGGTTAGTTGTCTTTAGTTGCAAGGTTAGTTATCTTTGGTTGCAAGGTTAGTTGTCTTTAGTTGCAAGGTTAGTTGTCTTTGGTTGCAAGGTTAGTTATCTTTAGCTGCAAGGTTAGTTCTGTCTAGTAGCAATGTTAGTTTTCTCTTGCAAGGTTAGTTGTCTGTAGTTGCAAATTCAGTTCTATCTTGTTACAGGGTTAGCTGTTTTTATTTGCAAGGTTTAGTTGTATTCAGTTTGCAAGGTTAGTTGTCCTTAGTTGCAAGGTTAGTTGTCTTTGGTTGTAAGGTTAGTTGTCTTTAGTTGCAAGGTTAGTTGTCTTTGGTTGTAAGGTTAGTTGTCTTTAGTTGCAAGTTTAGTTGTCTGTAATTTTTTTTCATACATGATGCTTATTAAGGTCAACGGATTAACGCCGGAAGTCGACGATTCTCGCCAGAAGTCAACGCTGGAAGTCAACAGTCAACGCCGGAGTCAACGGTCAATGGTCATAATAATATTTAAATAATTAAAAAGAAAAAATTAAATATAAAAAATATATAATTATTATTTTAATCAAGATCTAAATCTTGTGGCTAGGAATGAGTCTCACGTCCTCACTTTAAATAAATGGATGCATTGGAACCAATCTCTCTCTCTCTCTCTCTCTCTCTCTCTCTATATATATATATATATAGAGAGAGATATAGATATAGATTTAGATTTTTTTAAGACTTTTGAAAGTAGAGTTATTCATTTAAAATTTGTTACAAAATAATGAGGTACTTAACTTTTTTGATATTGGGAGTTTCAACTTTTTTAGATTTGCATTTGCTTATATATGAAAAAACAATAAAAAAAATTTATATACGAAATCTCACCACAAATCTCATATCTAGACTTAAGGTTTCATTAAATTCCTCTAATGCTAAAAATCTTAAAAAGTCTCAAAGTGTCACTTAAAATTCTAAAATATTATATTTTTAGTTTCAATTTAAAGAAACTTGTTTTTGTTTATTTTTACTCATCGGGGTGTATTCATTTAGGCTTTCTAAGATCATTTGACTTAAAATATGCAAATTTATTTAATTTCGACTCTTTAAAACTTTTAAATGTCTAGAGTTATTCTGTTAGAGATGCCAAAAAAAATGGTTGAAAAGCAATGGGTTGTCTACTCAAGGAAAGGGAAAGCTGGAAAGGAATAAATGAGATATATGAATAAAATTAGCAATGCAATATGGGAAGCATGAATTAGGGGATTTAGATGGATTCCTGGAGAGAATGGAAAGCTTTCAATTAGTTATCTTACCTTATAATTATTATCTATTACCATATATGAATAATAGCAATAATCTTATTAAAAGGAGTGAGGAAGTGAGAATTAGAGATCAGGAAGAAATAATCTTAATAACTAGGCCATTGGGCAAGTTATCTTGCTAGGAAGTTTTATACTTCTGATCATTGTTCTCTCTTTCATTTATAATAAAGTTGTCTCTTCATTCCTATTTTTTTAATTCTCTGATTCTCTGATCCTTCACTCCTATCAATTGGTTCGACCTGCCACTATGAATAACGCGCATGGACTCTCGAGTTGAAAGCACAGAGAAGGGTCAAGAAGTGCACGAGCAACGCCTCATTAATGTCGAGGAGGCCATCTCCAAACTTACCGACTTGGTCACCTAATTTTTTTCATCCAAGCATAACAATGAACCGAGAGACACCTCCCAAGTCGATCACATCAACATCACTAAACCACAAGATATCCACCTGCCTACTAAACGAACTGAGATTCCATATTTTGATGGAACCGACCCGCTTGGCTGGTTGTCTAGGGCTGAACAATATTTTACCATCCACAGCACGCGAGACGATTTACGAATTTCCACTGCTTTTGTTAGCATAGAAGGACCTGCCCTTCATTGGATGAGATGGCTACAACAACAACATCCCATGCTAACATGGTCGCAACTCAAATTTGAACTAATGGAGCAATTTGGTGGCGATTTGTCTGCCCTACCAATTGAGTTGTTAGCTGCTCTCCATCAGGTTGGTACGATGGATGAATATTGCAATGAGTTTCATGTCCAGGCTGACCATATCTGTGGGATACCCTCTCATATCTAGTTAGGGCTATTTCTGAATGGGCTAAGGGAAGAGATCCGAGTTCTTTTTCGCCCAAATGATGCTACTGATTTACGGACAGCAATGCGAGTTGCACGCTCTATTACTCGCGAACTCGATTTCCCGCACCATGACAAACATGTTATTAAATCTACAAGAGTGAAGAGGTGGTGTACGAGTTTCGGTTTGGGTTGGAATTCAAGCCCAACGTCCGCCAATGCAAACTTGTCTAGTCCAAGCACACATCATCAGACCAACCACGCCACTCCTACGCCCATCAGTTTCCATAAAACCACAAACGGAAATATTTTTATGCCAACTTCTCAAACTCCAGGTGCCGGTATATCTTTACAGCGAGATTCGGCTCATTCAGTTGACTAAAAGGGTATTCGACGTTATCTCATCAGGAATACCAGGACCTGCGTGCGAAAGGACTTTGTTTCCGATGCAAACAACCCTACAACCCGATGCATGTTTGTCCAAATAAATCATTGCGAGCTTTAATCGCAACGAAGATGAGACACTAACACCGACGACCCACCTCGGGTATATACCATAGATGATGCCTTATTACACATTTTGGACCTGCCACTCTCTTCCATTGGTGGTATCGACCGTTCCCAAGCAATGAAATTTCGCAGCCGGGTGCAGCACAATGATGTGGTTATTATGATTGATAGCGGGGCAAGCCATAATTTTATCTCATCTGACTTGGCAGCCAAACTCAAAAAACCTTTAGAGGCCACAACCCGTTTTGGTGTTCGCATGGGCGACGGACGCCAGTCTGAATCCTCTGGTAAATTTTCTGAACTTTCAGTTCACTTGGGGCCTTTTACAATGACCGTTGATTGCGTTGCTTTTCCCTTGGGTGCTGTCGATTTAATTCTTGGGGTTACTTGGCTCCCATCTCTGGGAACTATCCGCGCTAGTTGGGCTACAATGACAAAGGAGTTTGAAGATGATGGCCAGTGCATAACTTTGACTGGAGACCCGACTCTTTCTCGCCTCCCAATCTCATTTAACTCTGTCGAATATTTGGAAGATGTTGAGTATTTTATCATCCTTATGAGAATATCTTCTTTTCAGCTCAACACCTCTGCCATCATTGCCCTTCCTGGGCCCCAATCATCTCAATTGGAGGAGCTACTCAATGATTACTCGCAAGTCTTTGGTGAACCCGAGGGACTGCCACCGGTTCGACATAACGACCACAAGATTATTCTACAATCGGGCACAACACCTGTGAGCGCTAAGACGTATCGATATGGCCACACCCAAAAGGACGAAATTGAAAGATTGGTAGGTGAAATGCTTGCAGCGGGTGTCATTCAACCTAGTGTCAGCCCTTTCTCCAACCCGATTTTACTCGTGAAGAAAAAAGATGGTAGCTGGCGTTTTTGCGTCGATTATCGTGAGTTAAACAAAGTAACAATTGCGGATAAATACCCCATTCCAGTTATCCAAGAGATGCTCGACGAACTATATGGCTCCATATATTTCTACAAGATCGATCTTCGGTCCGGATCCCATCAAATTCGAGTAGTGCCAGAAGACATTTCAAAGACTGCCTTCCGTACTCATTCCGGCCACTATGAATTCCTCGTCATGCCTTTCGGTCTCACCAATGCTTTTGCTACTTTTCAAGCCACTATGAATGACATATTTCACCCTCATTTGCGTCATTTTGTGTTGGTTTTCTTTGACGACATTTTAGTCTACAGCCCGAGCTGAAAGGAACACCTTAAACATTTATCAGTGGTTTTGAATATCTTACAGTTTCATCAGTTCAAAGCTAATCCGAAGAAATGTCAATTTGGTTATTCTGCAGTGGAGTATTTAGACCACATCGTTTCTCATGCCGCGGTGGCTATGGACCCCGCCAAAGTCTCCAGCGTCCTCCGTTGGCTGGTACCTCGATCCTTAAAAGCAGTTCGTGGATTTTTGGGATTAACTGGATATTACCGTCAATTTATTCGGCACTATGGCTCAATTGCCAATCCTCTCATCACACACTTAAAGAAGGACTGTGTTACTATGTTCCAATGGCCCGAGGCAACACAATCTGCTTTTGATGCTTTGAAGAATGCCGTCACCACTTCCCTAGTCTTGGCCATGCCAGACTTTTCAAGACCATTTATTATTGAATGGGATGCATCAGGAACTGGGGTAGGAGCCGTTCTACTGCAAGAACGTCGCCCCATTGCCTTCTTCAGTAAGGCCCTCTCTGGGAAGACTTTATCTAAACCTACCTACGAAAAAGAATTAATGGCTCTTGTTATGGCCATTCAACACTGGAGGCCGTATCTCATAGGTCGTCGTTTCATAGTATGGACTGATCACCGGAGTCTACGTTATTTATTGAAACAACATATCTCCACTCCGTCACAACAGAATTGGGTTGCTAAATTACTTGGTTATGATTTTGAAGTAGTCTATAAGCTAGGATGCACTAATTGTGTACTAGACGCCTTATCCCGCAGTCACGATGACTTGCAACTTTCCGCTATATCCATCCCGGTGTGGTTGGATTGGGGTTCTCTCGAGTCTGCTATTTTGGCGGATTCAACGCTTCAATCACTCATTGCCCGATTGCATCAAGATCCTGATGGCTGCCCCCCGTACAAATTGATTAACGGTCGCCTATTCTATAAGGGTCGTATTGTGCTTCCTTCTAATTCAACTTGGACCTCTCGACTCCTCGAGGAGTTCCATTCCACTCCAATAGGGGGCATTCAGGTGCATACCACACATATCGACGACTTGCTGCAAGTGTTTATTGGAAAGCTATGATGCAACATGTCCAAAAATTATGGCGGACTGTCTACTTTGCAAGAAGAACAAATATGAAACCTTGTCCCCAGCTGCCTGTTCCAACCTCTTCCTATTCCGACGACAGTTTGGGAAGGCATTTCAATGGACTTCATTACGGGTTTGCCATGATCTAGTGGGCTCGATTGCATTTGGGTGGTGGTCGACAGGTTTTCCAAATATGCCCACTTTCTTGGATTTCGACATCCGTTCACCGCTAGATCTCTAGCTGATCATTTTGCAAAGGAAATTGTCCGCCTTCACGGCGTGCCCAATTCGATTGTAAGTGACACAGACCCAATATTTTTAAGCCACTTTTGGACTGAGTACTTTGCCAAGATGGGGACAAGTCTTAAAATGAGCAGTGCTTATCACCCTCATACCGACGGACAAACCGAAGTGCTCAACCATTGTCTTGAGCAATACCTTTGTTGTTTTGCTTCCGAACAACCCCGACAATGGGGCAAGTGTCTTCACCGGGCAGAATATTGGTACAATATTTCTTTTCAAGGAGCGGCTCAATGGACTCCCTTTGAGATTGTGTATGCCAAGTAGAGGTGGCCAGTCAACGAGCCATGGCCCGGACCGGCCCGACCCGCCGGGTCGGCGGGTCTCAAAACCTAGGCCCGTGACCGGCCCGCTTACATCTAAGGGCCGGTTCATTGAACCGCCAAAAAAAAAAAAAAAATTGTAACTATGGCCCGTCGAAAAATCCAGACCTGGCCCGGCCTGGCGGGTCAAAAATGGGTACCACATGACCCTTAACCGGCCCTTAAGAGATTATGGGCCGGTTCAAAAACCGGGTAGGGCGGGCCGGTCCGGGACCGGTTTCTGGTCGGGCCACGGGTCGGGCCAACCCGTGGCCATGTCTAATGCCAGGACACCTCCAACCTTGCAACAATTTTACCTGGTGAGTTTCAGGTGGCAGCAGTGGCCCATGATCACTTTGATCGCAATGAATTACTACGTCAGCTTCGTTTCAATTTGGAGAAAGCTCAACGTCGCATGACAAAAGTTGCAAACCTTACAAGGTGTAACGTTGAGTTTAATGTGGGTGGTAGTGTCCTTCTCAAGCTTCACCCTCACAAGCAAAACACTCTTCTCAACAGATTGAACCAAAAGTTAGCCCCTCGATACTATGGTCCTTTTTTGATTTTGCAAAAGTTGAGTGCAGTTGCTTACAAGCTTCAGCTTCCCTCTACCTCAAAGGTTCATCCGGTCTTTCATATTTCACAACTTAAGCCGGTGAAAGGTCACCATCCTGTTATCCAGGATATCCATAACGAGCATCAAGTGGAGGAGGTCGGCTACCAACCATATGACATATTAGCGGTTCGTCAGTTAAGCACAGCTACTGGTACCATACCACAAGTATTGGTCCAATGGGAGGGACGCACCACTGATGACGCTATGTGGTTGGATCTCTCAGATTTCATGGGGCGATTTCCTAATTCTAGCCTTGTGGAAAAGGCTATTTCTCTGGCGGGTAGTAATGATAGAGATGCCAAAAAAAAAAAAAATGGTTGAAAAGCAAGGGGTTGTCTACTCAAGGAAAGGGAAAGATAAAAAGGAATAAATGAGATATGGGAATAAAATCAGCAATGCAATATGGGAAGCATGAATTAGGGAATTTAGATAGATTCTTAGAGAGAATGGAAAGCTATCAATTAGTTATCTTATCTTATAATTATTATCTATTACCTTATATGAATAATAGCAATAATCTTATTAAAAAGAGTGTGGAAGTGAGAATTAGAGATCAGGAAGAAATAATCTTAATAGCTAGGCTATTAGTCAAGTTATCTTGCTGGGAAGTTTTATACTTCTGATCATTGTTCTCTCTTTCATTTATAATAAAGTTGTCTATTCATTCCCCTTTTTTTAATTCTCTGATTCTCTAATCCTTTACTCCTATCATATTCATATGAGATTCTCAAAAGTTTTACAAAAATCATGAGTTATTAAACTTAGTTGAGACTACGATTTGTCAAGACTTTTTAAGATTTGCTGGCATTTTAAAAGAAAAATCCATATACGAAATCTCGCACCAAATCTCATATTGAGACTTAAGATTTCAAAGAACTCCTCTAAATTTGAAAATTTGAAAAAGTAACAAATCTCAAGAAGTCTCAAAGTGTCACTTGAAATCCCAAACGAATGCATTTTCATTTTTAATTTATAGAAAGTTGTTAATGTTTATTTACTCTGCCCGATATAATGTGTTTCGATTGAATTTTAACTCACGTCGTCATTTTTTATATATATATTCCTAATAACTTTTATTTACTCCTCTCGATGTAGTGTGT